AAGCAAGCAGATGTATTAAATGTAGTATGTAGAGGATTAACTGGTAGGGCCATACTTTCACAGGAGGGCCCAACAGGTGCTCCTGCAAAAATGCACCCTTTTCCAATGAATCCACATAAAATGGTGAGTCATCTTTTAGTTGCCACATTGGTTGTGCTTTCTTTTGAAAGTCTGGCACTCAATATGTCCAATCAAGTTTGGACTACTTGCAGAGCAAGGTGCTATTTATTCACTGTGAATGAGAGTGGCAGTCTTGGCTCTTTATGAGATAAGCGTAAAGTCTACTCTGTGTGCCCAGTATGTGATTTTAGCAGATTCATCTGAAGGACAAATCAAAAAAAAAAAAGTCAACCACAACACTTATTGGAACTCATCCTCAATGAAGGCAATCAATGAGTCTGCTTGTAAAGTGGAACTTATTATGAGTAAGGGAAGCAGAATCAGACCCAAATTGTACACCTGAGGAGGCTTGCATTGTGCATGTAAGCGTGACTAATTTAACTGAGTGGAAAGTGGACTGAAGGTGTTGAGGTGGGCTGTTGTGCCTTTATGAAATACAGGGGCACAGTGTGTGTATCTAAGGTTCTAGATTATGATGTTATATTGTATAAATTATATATTGGTAGTTTTAGCCTTCATCAGGTTAAAATTATTTGAAATTAAAGACTATGGGGAAATTTTTTTTCAAAAGCGCCTAAGTCCCATTTTCAAAAGCAACTAAATCCTTTCTTCAAGCGTGACTTGGGTACATAGGAGCCTAGCTTTAAATTTAAATTTAAATTCAATGAATAGTTGAAGAAGAAAACCAATTTGAATGAAGCAAGGCTGATAATCAGTTACTGATTTCTAGATATCACTAACATTATGAAGTATTTTGGATACAATTCCTTCTCTTTGAAATTGGATGTGTTTTTGAGAGTCCAAATCAAATATAATAAATTCAGGTGGTTATAGTAATTAAATGTTGAGTTCTGGACTTTTTTTCCCACAGATTATGCAAACCGTAGATTTGCATGGTTAACGGCTGTCTGAAAGGCATAAGACCCTGTGAAATTGTGGGTGAAATGTCAGAAAATGTATATTTGGCTATAAAATTCCTAGATTCAAGAAGGGACTTAGTACTTTATGAAGCATTCTCATCAGAAACTTTGGAACTCAGACTCAGAATGACTAAACCTAGAAGAGTAATGGTTTTATAATATGTCTTTCCCCCCATTCTCCCCTCCCCGCAGAGTTCCAGAAATTGACAGTGTCCAAAAAAGGAACGTTGGGGGGTATTTTAAACTCAAATACTAAAATAATCAGTATCATGATCTCATATGAACCAGGTGGCCAAAAACAATCTTTTGTATCCATAAAAATACTACTTTACTGGACAGAGTTTTCTCTGGAATCATGCACTCTGGGCCAAACGATTACAAGGGTATGCATGAGCATGGAATCTGTAGTTTATACAAGACTGTGACACCCCACCAGCAAGAAATATATGAGCCTAGACTGTTTATGGGGCTAGGTAAGCTTTTCCTTGCTCTCTACCCAAAATGGGCCTTATTGGGTATTATGAAATAATGAGTAAATTCAAAGCTGGTTATGATCTAGTGGTGGAAACAAAGAGGTTGTGAGTTATGATGATGTGCCAGTAACCTTCTGTCCTTCTGTGTTTTTACACGGTTTTTGTCAATGATGTGTAAAAAATAATAATAATAAACTGGCAGATGGTAGACTCATCAATCTTCCACACTGAATGAATGGTTTAAATTAGTCATAGAGTGAAAAACAAAAATAAGAACATTTTATTGCTTTTTCAGGAAGGCAGAGGTCATAATCAGCAGGATAAAAATGACTGCTAGAGTGCATTAAAAGTGTTGTGAAAAGCCTGTTGTTATGGCTTCAGTTCCACCTTGAGTGCAACTAGTGTGAGATCAGCCAGTTAGTCAGCAGCGGCTCTGCTTATATCAGGCAGTAATTCAATGGCAAGGATGATCCTTGAAGCTTGCACTACAAATAAGGCTTTTTGAATTTGCTTTTCCTTTACACATACCACATGCACCAGCTCAGCAGAGTAGCAGTGCTTGGATTGAATGCTCTTTGTCAGCTCCATCTGGCCTGCTGTGTTTATACAAAGCTCAGGGACCAAGTGAGTCCCTTTGGAAATACAGCTGACTGTTTCAGTGCTCTGGTTAAAATGCCCTAAGGCTGCTGAAAAATCCCTACAGTGAGGATGCTTTACCACCAAAAAAAGAAAGATTGTAGGATCCTTGTGTATCTGCCAAAAGCCTGGAGCTCTAGTTATTTGCAGGGGGTAATTGAGGGCATTGCAACTGCCAAAGTGTCTCCCCTTCTGAGACCAGAATGTATCAAAAGCATTTTTACATCAATCTTGTCTGCTAAATTGGCCATGTATGAATGTTAAAATAATCCCAGTTGCAAACCGTCCTGGCTCCTCCATTCAGCCTCACAAAGTCACTGAAATTTAAGTCATCTTTTAAAAAGAAAGAGAGGACTAGGTGCTGGAGGGCCTCATTCTTCCTGGGGAGTTACTGAGAAGTTTTCCTGATGCCCCATTTAGGATTTGTATCTCATCTGTCCATATCTGTCTCTCCTTTTGTCTGATCTCTTTGAATGTTTATAAAGTGTCCATTGCAGTAGCATCTAAGCACTGGACTCGGTATAGAGAGATATGAGAGGTGCCCTGAGGCAGTCAGTTCAGTTCTCAGATCTGCTCTAGATATGATCTAGGCAACGGATGTAAGCATGTAAAACTGATTACAGATAGATCATAAAAACAAATCAAGAAACCATACTGATTTCAGTAAATGAAGGCTCTCTGGTAAATGCATGCAACAGTAATTTCAAGCCATTTTCAGGATATGTGTCAGAAAAACACTGATACTGCTTAGAATTCAAAAGTGAGGAAGTGGGTTCAATTTGTATTTTACATTGTCATCATATAAATTTCAGGACAAAAATTGCATGCCCTTATTATCATCTTGATCATTTTCTTAAATATTATATCCCCTTCAGTCCCCCTGAGGCTGATTATTTAGATTGTAAGCTCTCTGGTGCAGGGACTGTCCTTGTATTGCAGTATATACACAATGTAATGATAACTGGGGGAAGGAGGAGCAAAGAAATTTAATTCTAGATTATCCCTCTTCTGTTCCAAGTGAATGAATAGACTAAATTATTCCACTCCCTGTTTGAAATTAGTACAGCCTTTACACTTCCCATCTGCATATCTCAGGTGAAAACCAGACTGTCTTGTTATTGTGTAGTATAAGAACAAAGAGACGCTTTGTTAAATTGAAAGGTAACATAATATGTTCAAAGCCAGAAGGTAAAAATGCTTCTTCATATGGAATACACTAGGAAGATGGTCATCAGGACAAATACTGTGGCTGGATTTGAATTGATAAAATATTTTCATTGATCAAAGGTCATTCTTCACCTAATGGGGTCGGGAGGGAATTCCTCACTCCCCATATCCAGATGCAACATTGAGCAATGTGCTAGATGTATCAGTAGGGGAAGGAGCAGGTGCTTCTGAAGCATCAGGCATTGGCCACTGCTGGAACAAGATACTAGATTGGATGGATCAGTAATGTAATCTGTATGGCAGAGCCTGTGTTTCTTTGACTTTTTCTCCAGAATTGATTCTGCCATTACAAAGGGCTACAGAAAAAGCCTAACATTCTTTCCAATGAGTGAACATAGGTCACCGTCTCATTGAAAACCTACTACACCACCTTTAACGAGGCTGTGCTCAGCAGGGCTCAGGTCCTGGCTTATTTGAGGTGTTTATGTTGTTTTCTTTTTCATTTTAAAAACACATTTAGTTGCTTAAAGCAAAATCTTATTTCCAAGAGCAACCCTGGAGAACAAGCAGCTGGGAAGTTGCCACAAGCAAACAAGCACATAAAAGTCATGAATTAAAAGGAAAATGTAAATTTTGGAACCAATACTGATGACAGCAGCAAATGAGCATATTGAAATCCTCTTTCATCGATACAATAAACTTGTCAGATGAATGGAAAAGCAGGCTTCATGTTATGCAGCGCATACTTTTAATTAAAACGTTATCAATTGTTCCTTATTGAGTAATTGTCTTAAATACAGGTGGTATTTCTAGAACTGACCTACAAATGCTGAAATAATGTTGTCACGTTACGTGGCAAGTAAACATATGGGGTTGGAGTAGGGAGGATAATAGCTCTTCCAACATCATACATTTTATATAGTTGAGCTACCCACCCTGCTATCACCCTAAAATGGTTTGCCATCTGGGCACCTTCATTCCTACCTACAGAAATGCAAAATGCTGCCATTTAGAAAGGATTTTTATGGTACGTTGTTAAAAAATGTATCTTCGCCTGTACCTGTTGTCTGAGTTATTTTGTTGTTCTAAGTTCTCAGATGTTTAAGGCCACAAGGGGGCCATTAGCTCATCTAGTCTGACCTCATGTATAACATAAGCCAGAGAATTTCACCCAGTGTCCCCTGTATTGAGCCCAATAATTTCCATTTTACTAAAGCATATCTTCCAGAAAGGTATCCAGTCTTGATCTGAAGATACCAGGAGATGGACAATCTACAACTTGCCTTTTTAGTTTGTTCCAATGGCTAATCACTCTCATTCCATAAAAATAAAAGAAACAATACGGAATTCTAATTACAATTTTAGACCGATTCGGATTGCCTTGTTATGGTTTAGGTTTCCTGGGCAGTGGTTTTGTGTTGCATATAATCAGAGCAGGATTCTGCTCTCACTTACAGCTGCTTGAGTCAGGAATCCCATCACCACAATGTAAACCAGTGTCAAGCCTTCAGTATGATTCTTAATTGTTTCCATGGACACCTGCCTGAAAAAAAAAATGGGTTTCCAAACATATGCGGTATAAATTTGCCTTTCTGCCTCTCCTTTCCCTCTATGAAAAAAGAGGTTTGAAATCATTGCTCTTGTATATCTGATTAAAAATAATGTCTTTTATCTTTCTTTCTAGAAAATTTTAACTATGATTCCTACCGAGGAAGAAAAACAGAAGATCCAGGAGGCCCAGATGGCAAACCCTGACATCCCACTGGGCAGTGCAGAGCAGTTCCTTCTCACTCTCTCCTCGATTAGTGAGCTCTCTGCTAGACTCCAGCTTTGGGCTTTCAAAATGGATTATGAGCTAGTGGAAAAGGTAAACTTCCTCTGACTGGGAGAAGGCAATTTCAAGTCCTTGTTTCAGTTTGTTCAGTCTTTATTATTACATGGCTAGCTACATTGTGGGTATGGTGAATTAATTATTTTTAGCTTTTGTTTTGGTGAACAACAGGAGATGGGATGGAAGAAAAGGGAACATTTTAGCTCTCTTTTACAAAAAAAATTAAGGGTTATGTCTTCCTTCCTCTAATCAAGCAATAATGATTTAGGAATGAGCAATTTCCTGGGGATGAGGGCCCAATCCTTATGCACTTCTTACCCGGATATTATTCATGCAAAACACTTGTTGAAATTAATGGGAGTTTTGCCTATGTAAAAACTTAGTTTATCAGAATCTGGCTTATTTTGACAAGTGGAGAGAACTAAGCACTATATTTATTCATTAGCTAATTTATAAGATCCCTGGGATCCCTCAAAGTTGTTATTGCTATTATAAACTCTTGAAAGTGCGGGGGGGGAACCCTAAGATTATCTCTCAGATGTTTTTTAATTTTGCTCATTAACTAGGGTTACCATATTTCAACAATCAAAAAAGA